TGTCATCCCCTCTTCTCTCCCCTCCACCTCTATTCCTCCTGTGCTTTTATTCCTTCCTTCCCTTTTTCCTGCCATCTCTCCTTTGACCTTCCTTCTCTTTCATTCTTTCTTTCCTTCCTTGCCATCCCCTCTTCTCCCCCTTCCACGTCTATTCCTCCTCTTCGTGCTTTCTTTCTTTCCTTCCTTCCTTCCCTCCTTTCTTTTCTTGCCATTTCTCCTTTTGACCTGCTCAAAATAAGTGAGGCTGGGATTCCACCAATATACGTTATCTGATCATTAAATGCCACTTGCTTCCATATGGGCAACTTGATGTTTTCCTTGGTGGGGTGGACATTTCTCCACTTGCAATGGTGTTTTTCAAGGTCTGGAGTGGGACTGGGGTCTCTTTCAGGTGGTTAGTTGATTATTTTTGCCCCAAGCAGGTGGGGAATTTGGGGAATTTGGGGAAGAGCTTGCCCTTCTTTTGCGTTGGCTTTATAAGCGGCCTTGGCCTTTCTGCGAATATTTGCGCAATGTTCATTCCTTTGTAACTTCTGTTTTAATACGTGTGTATTTTAAAATGGTCTTGACATGCTTTTACTTTAAGTTGCTTTGAGCCTCTTTTTGTGGAGAGAAAAAGTGGGGTATAAACACTTTTTCTGGCGGGAACGAGAGACAGGGCCTTTTCTGTGGTGGCCCCTCGGCTTTGGAACGCCCTCCCCATAGAGGTACGATCAGCCCCCTCGCTGATGGCGTTTCGGAATCGATTGAAGACATGGATGTTTAAACAAGCATTCGGTTAATCCGTTGCAACGAATTTTGTTGACTAAAGGATTGGTAATCATGGACGATGAATTTTGGACTGCGATTCCAGTTATGAGATGCTTGGGATTATTATTGGTGGCCCAATAATTTGTATTGTATATGTGTTTTATGCTTTTAAACTGAATACTGTTTTTTAAATGTTGTAAACCGCAATGAGTCGCCGACTTAGGCTGAGATATTAGCGGTATACAAGCGTATAAATAAATAAATAAATAAATAAATAAATAAAGCAGAAAATCTGGGATCAGATCCTAGGATATAGGACCTGTCAGGGACCTTCCACACAAACATATAACCCAGAATATCAAGGCAGAAAATCCCACAATATCTGCTTTGAACTGGGTTATCTGAGTCCACAATCAGATAATGTGGGTTTTTCTGCATTCATATTCTGAGATATAGGGCTATGTGGAAGGGCCCTGAGTCTACAGTGCCATATAATTCAGTTCAAAGCAGAGAATCTGGATACAGCTGTGTAGAAGAGGTTTTGGATCGACACTGCCCTATAACCCAGGATCTGAACCCAGATTATTTTCTTATCCCAGATTAATAAATAAAGATTATTATTATTATCTGGCAGTGTTTAACCCAGTTTAAAGCAAATAATCTCAGTTCAGATCCTGGGATATAAGGCAGTAAAGAAAGGGTTTTCAGCCCCATCTACGCTGCCATATAAAATACGGATTCTCTGCTTTGAACTGGATTATATGGCAGTGTGAACTCAGATAACCCAGTTCAAAGAAGATAATGTGGATTATCTGCCTTGTTATTCTGGGTTGCATGGCAATGTGGAAGGGCCCTTTGATACCTGATGAATTGCACTTTGTTATTTGTGCCTTAGGGTACCCATAAATCGGAAATGACTTAAGGGCACACAACAACAACAACAGTTTAAAATACTTTAATCTGATCGGAGGATAACCTTGTTAGTCAGATAATGTAACAGAACTGCTTATTTGTGGTCTGGCTGCATTTACTTAGATTATTGTTAGCTAGGAAATTCTGCCTCAAAGGGGGATTGATGGACTGCATGGCCATCCAAGAAATCATAATCAAAGCCCTCCTGACAAAGAGCCATCCAGCCATAGATAGAGATAGATCTATATGATTCACACACACACACACACACACATATGGAAGACATAATATCATAGATTTGAAAGGGATCCCTAAAGAAGGACAATTCTATGTTGCATGTTCCAGAGTAGGCAAACCAGACAATCTCCACATCAACACTGACAAAGAAACAACAAGAAGTACTGTTTACCCACAAGCATAAAGAAATTGCATAGATTAGAAACCAACACTTTCTCATTACTTTCTTTTCAAGATCACCAGACTGGATCACAGCAACGCATGGCAGGGGATGGCTAGTGTGTGTGTGTGTATATATATATATATATACACATACACACACACAGCCAGTAGGAAGTCCAAAATACCTGGAGGGCCAAAATTTGTCCATGCCCATATATATATATATATATATATATATGTGTGTGTGTGTGTGTGTGTGTGTGTGTGTGTGTGTGTGTGTGAGAGAGAGAGAGAGAGAGAGAGAGAGAGAGAGAGATTGGTTTTGGGGGGGGCGCCAAAATACTCTTTGCTTACCATTGAAAATTACCTAGGGCCGCCTCTGCTTGCAGCCCCCTCTTCCTCCATTTGTATGGAGTCAAGCTGAGTACCCAAAGCAGACCCAGAAAAGGAGACTTTGTTCGGATTCCGGCGCAAACAGGCCTTTCGGTTCCGCTCTTCCAAGCTGCGCTTTGGGGGCATTTTCTCTCCAAAACTGAAGAATTGGAGGCATTTCTCCCATTTCTCCGTCCTTTTTTCTTTCTTTCTTTCTTTCTTTCCTCCAAAGCAAAAACTTGGAATGCTCCCCTGGCAGCTGCAATCTCGCCCCAGTTGCACCTTGGGGTCCTCCGGGGAGAGAGTGCGAATCCTCCGTATCTTCCGCATTGGCTTAAAGTTGGGCATCGCGCCTCTTTTGCAAGTGGAAACTAGTTCGTATCCGGCAAAGCTTTCACGTTGGCTCACTTAGTTGTGCATTGCTTCTCCTTTGCAAGCGGAAGTGGGTGCAAGTTCTTCGTACCTTTCCCATTTGCTCACTTTGTTGTGCCTTGTGCTCCGTCTTTGCAAGCGGAACGGAGTGCGAATCCTCCTTAGCCTTCACATTTTTGTGCCTTGCATTCTCCTTTGCAAGCAGAAGCTGGTGCAAATCCTCTGTGTCTTTTGCATTTGCTCACGTTGTGTCTTCCACTCCTCCTTTGCAAGTGGAAGCAAGTGCAATTCTTTCAAAAGCTGTCACATTGGCTCACTTGGTTGCGCATTGCTCTTCTTTTGCAAGCAGAAGCCGGTGTGAATCCTCTCAAACTTTCCCATTTGCTCACTTTGTTGTTGTGAAGATAGATTTCTTAGATTATTTATTTAATAAGGGGGGCTAGGGAGGGAGGGAGGGAGGGAGGGAGCGGTGGGGTCAATATTTATACAGAGACACTATATTTTACTTTTGTAAATAAAAAAAGTAAATAAAGGCAGTGACATGGCAGTTTTCGGCATGCAAACAAGTGATAAAAATGCAGCCACAAATATTGATGAAATCATACAGTATCAGGCAGAAAGATATATAAGCAACAATGAAGCTGTGTGGCGCATTCTATCATTTCCAATACATGAACGAAGTCTTCCTGTAGTCCACCTAGCAGTACATCTGGAAAATTGACGTGTTTATTTCACAGCAGCAACAATGCAACGCATAGTCCACAATCCACCAGCAAAAACTCTGACAGCATACTTCACGTTTGCAAAAACACTGCTGTATTCACAAGTGCCAACATATTACCAATGGGATGCAAGCAGGAAAACTTTTGAACAATACAAACAAGGAGAACAAGTCAATGGACAATCAGGCATATTCAAAGACACCAAAATAGGAAGGTTGTACACCATCCATCCAAAACAAGATGAATGCTTTTTTCTTCGTATGCTACTGGTAAATGTGCCAGGACCAACATCTTTCCACCAGTTGAGAACTGTCAACAGCATTACACATGACACATTTGCAGTGCCTGTCAAGCTCTGAATTTGTTGGGGAACAACCAACACTGGGATGACTGAAAAAATGAAGCATGCAACACATCACATCCAAAACAATTTCGGACATTGTTTGTAATCATTTTGACTGCCTGCTCTCCATCATCTCCAACACAGTTATGGGAAAAATATAAATCGCACATGGTGATATTTCCCATCAAATAAAAAAGGAACACACAGAAATGAATGAGGATCACACCGCATAACTCTACAATGAAGTGTTGATTGTGATTGAGGATTCTTGCAAACAAAGTTCTCAAACAACTGGGAATGCCAACATCAAATCGAAAGGCACCTTCTACGTTCGAAGTAGAATTGCGTCAAGAACTAAATTACAACATAAGAGAACAATGTTCATGTGTACAATCAAATATTCCCAAGCTAACACAGGAGCAAAGAGGCGTTTACAATCAAATAATGAATACTGTCCATAACGGGGAAGGAGAAATCTTCTTTTTAGATGCGCCAGGAGGAACAGGTAAAACGTTCCTAATAAGACTGATTCTGGCAGAAATTCGATCTCAAAATTACATAGCCTTATAGCTCTTGCTTCATTTGGAATAGCAGCAATGTTGTTACTGTTCCATCTTCCAGAAGCATAGCTTGCATTACCTTTTAGTTGCACGGGATAGTGTTCCTTTGCATTTCCCCAGGGATGTTACAATCTCAGCTGCACTCTGAAAGTTAACAGCATTAGAGGCTGGAAAGTCAACCTGCAGGCCCCTTTTGCAGCTACTGATTCAGAAAGTATCTCTTTGGGTCTAGGGGCCACCTTTTTTCCTGGGTTGAGACCTCCATTTTGGAAATCTCCCCTGCCTCCTTCAGTAGGAAAGAAAGCTTCAGATGTGCTGTTGGTCAGGCAGGTAACTCTGAAAAAACCATTATAAGAACGATTGAGAACTAGGTAGGAAGATTGAGATACTATAGATTGAGTTATTTAGATAGAGAAGCTATTGAGTATTATAGAGATATATAGATCGAATAGGTATTGAGTTATATATTGAGCATTACTTCATCTCCAAAGCTAACCTTGAGCTATAGATAGGGGGAAAACCTGCTTTTTTCTAAACCACAGCAGCTTAGGGTTAGGGTGAAAAGATCTCAGGATTTTTTTCTGCCTTTTGGGGAAAAGTTATCTCAGTAACTAAAGGAAAGGAAAGGAAAGAAAGATCATCTCTATTGTTTCACCAATTGACTGTTTTATTTGTAACTTTAACAAGCTGTGCCAAATCTGCAAGGACTTTGAAAAAATAAATATTCTGTTTTGATGTTCAAAGCCTGTAGTAGCCTAAGTTGCTGGAAATCTCAAACTTCTAAAGAAAGACCCCCGCAGTCCACCCAGACAAAGAGAGAAGCACATCTTAGTTTATTTTTATAGGGTCTGGGTGTGACGGCACAGTTACCAGGTGGAAGAACTGCGCATTCCACTTTGAAATTGCCATTGAACATGCAATACATTGAAACTCTAACATGCAACATTTCCAAAACACCCAGCATGGGTAAAGTATTACAGAAATGCAAAGTTATAATTTGGGATGAATGCACAACAAGATTTGCGTGCCAGAAAAAGACCATTTGGAAACGCAATAATACTATTGGCAGGAAATTTCAGACAAAAATTACCAGTAATTCCACGATCAGCACTAGCTGATGAAATAAATGCTTGCTTGAAATGCTCGACTTTGTGGCAACATGTTAAAACATTAAGATTAACAACCAATATGCATCTCCTACTCCAGAACGACCGGTCAGTAGAAATATTCTCTCATCAATTGCTAGACATAAAGAATGGCAAGGTGCCAGTAGATCAGACCACAGGACAAATTTACATTGCCTTAAAACTTCTGCAGTATTATGACATCAAAACAAGAATTGATAGAAAAAGTATTTCCAAACATACAAAACAACTACAAGAATCATGACTAGTTAAGTGAACAAGCTATTCTGGCACCAAAAAACACGGACGTCTATGCACTTAACCATATCATTCAGTCAAGCATTCCAAGTGTAGCAGTAACATACAAATCCATCGACAATGTTGTGGAAGCAGATGAGGCAGTTAAATACCCAACAGATGATGTGTTGGGGAAGCAGATGATGCAGTTTTCTTTCTAGAACCCAAGTTGGACTGAAAAGAGCCCTGAGAGCATTAACAAATTACTGTGAGGCAGAACAGCTTTCTCAACTTTCAGAAAACCAAAATTATGATGTTCACTAAACAACCCAAGAAACACAACTGGAGAATAGATGGAAACAAAATCGAGCAGGTTTCAAGTTTTAAATACCTGGGAGTACTCCTTCATTGCACTAACAGCAGGAAAGCCCATGCAGAATATGCAACAGAGCCAGCGCAAAAGAGCTGGCCCTCCATCTTAAGATACTTCAAGATGAGAGGAGACCACTTTATAGTGGCGGCACTTAAATCTTTTTGAAATAAACCAATCGTACAAATGCTGTATGGAGCCCAGCTTGGCCCCTTTTCAGATTATGCCCTACTGGAGCATGTTCAATCAAAATTCCTAATCTCAACTATTAGGTTACACCTATCCTTCTCCCCATGTAGTCTTGCTCCTCTAACCATGAGGGACGACTTCCAGTCCACATGGACTAAAACAGTGGCAGTAAAGATCGCAACACTAGGTTTCTCCCAAGAATAATTGCTAAACAAGAGATGGGACCAAGCCATGGATCTCATTAAGCAACGGATCCTGGACATAGAGCGCCAATCGGACCTAACCTGTTCCCCAGCCTTTATTATTAGGGAAGCCAATAGATGCCTCACTGCCCCCATGGCATGCCTAACAGACCTGAAGGTGCCCAAACACCGAAGGGCTTTTACCCTGGCAAGATGCCATGCTCTTCCATAGGTTCTATTGGAGGGGAGTAGCAGCCGATAAAGTCAGTGACATATCCGACCCATCCTCTGTTCGGATATCAGCCAGCATGTCAATGCCTTAAATCAAGAAATAGTTTTCTAAGATCTACAGAGATAATTGCAGGAACACCTCAACAAGTGAGAGTTCAAAAGTGGCAGACTAAAACCTGGAACCTCAAGCCATGGCTCCCTCCTGGGAACACAGAAACCTGGGTGACTTGGAAGGCGCAGAGCCAATCTTAAGAAATGGAGCTACAAAGTGGAGTCCATGACATGCGAGTATGGAGAAGAGCAAACTACAGACCACCTATTACAATGCAGTCTGCCTCCTGCCACATGCACAATGGAGAACCTTCTTATAGCAACACCAGAGGCACTCCAAGTGGCCAGCTACTGGTCAAAGGATATTTAGTATAATGCCAAGTTTTTAAACACTGATTGTGTTTGTAAATACATTAAAACTGTACCCTTGGTTTGCTTCTGATACAATAAATAAAAATAAAATCTGGCTGCAACAAACCTATATCGAGAAATTTCTTCATTCCTTTTTACTACTTATCTCCATAAATAGTCCTAAAAGACACGTTTCTGTGTTTTTCTTAACCTTATTTAGTCATTGTTTTGTTTATTTCCTTAATCACATTTTCCTCCAAAATCTTGTACCATCTTACAAGTCTACCAGGTATGAAAAAGATCCCTTTCTGCATCTTGCACCTCCAGCATTCCCCTCAATGACATTTATCAATTTTAGCTATAATCTCTGGCTTTACATAACGTCTATAGAA